TTTTCAAATTAAATGCCAAAAATGACATTATCAGTATGTTTGGTTTTGTTTTTAAAAAAGTATTTAAGTTTTTTTTTTTTTGTATTTAATAAACTTCTTTAAACAATTTTACTTTGTAAGTATATCTAATTTAGATGTATCTACAGATTAAATATTTATAAAAAAATAAAATAAAATAATTCATAAAGAAAAAAAGTACGAAAATATACCCCTTTTTGTGGTTATTTTACCTTTAATTTTTTTTAAAAAAAATTTCTTCACAAAAAGTTACTTGTTAGATGCATCTAAATTTTTTTAAAAATTTACTAAAATATGAAGAAGAAAAAAATTACTAAAAACAAAAAAAAAATTAACATTTTTATTTTTTCAATTAATTCTATTAAAACAAAAGGAAATTTATTCAGAAGTCCCATCCCAAAAAAGTATGTCTTGTAAACTATTAAGTCCCATTGAATTTGAAAAGGTGAGTTCCTTTCACTATATTTTTTGAAGATTCCAAATGTGAATAGGCTTTATTTGTGTAATTTTTTGTCAAATGTGTCATTTTTAAAATATTATGATATGATGTCATTCTAATGTATACATTATTTATCATATTAAACTTTTGTTAAATATATTATTCTTCTTAAAATGTAACAATGGGACATTTGTGCACTGTCTTATTAAACTTTTGTCAAATATATTATTCTTAAAATGTGACAGTGGAACATCATTTTAATGTGTCTACTATTGTCATATTAAACTTTTTCCACATATGCCATTCTTTTCAAAATGTGACAATGAGATATTTATGCACTATTGTCTTATTAAACTTTTTGGCAAATGTATCATTTTTAACATGTGACAATGAGACTTAGTACGTTTTCAAATGTGAGTACACATTATTGAGAGATTTTAATATAAAATAGGCCTTATGAGTTGTAAAAATATTTGTAGAACTAAATGATCAATAAGTCATAAAAGTAGAATTTATTAAGAGGGCTAATATTTACCCCCACCTAATTATTTTGGCCCACCCACTTCTTTAAACGCCCACTCAGCAAAATGAAACCCCTACATTTTTTCTTTGAGAAATGGTAGGGATCATGAAATTTTTTTTATGAAAATGATCATGAAAGATTTGTGACCCTTAAATTGCCTTGATTAGTGTGTGGTACTTTATTCTAAGTGTAATCCAAAGGTCATAAATCTTTCATGATTATTTTCATGAAAGACTTTTCATGATACCTAGCATTGCTGTTTTTCTTTAAACCCCTACATTAATACCAACTGTAACGCCCTCAAATATATCCATTATACATATAACATTGACATGCATTATTTAAAGAAAATACTTAAATAGTTCATTATAATATCCTTCAGAGTCTTACTAAACAAAAGCATTACATGTAACATCAAAGTAAATGCCCTACCGGCTTACATCTTTCCAAGCCAACACCTGGACACAAAGTATGAGTTCTAACTCAAATATAATTAAAGCCCTAGGCTTGAGTGTTTACATGTACTATCAATGAAAACAAATAACTAAAAATAGTCTTCTTCAATCCAGAAGCCAAACCCTCCCAAGCTAAGTCCTTGGAGGTAGTTTATCGCCTGAACCTGAAAATGATGTTCCCATAAAGGGTGAGCCACAGCCCAGTAGAAATATACTAAACCACATATAAGCAATGAATAAAGCAATAGCATTCAACAGATGGTTAACCAAGATAAACAATTACTTCAGTTTATAGTCTCATGACACTATTGTCTAAGACACGTTTTACTTTCCAATTTTATCAACATGGCTCAGAACCTGGCCAAACTTACAACAGTGAATTACATATATCATATTCACATCCTTCCAATATCAACAAACAAATGAGACTCAAGCTCAAATCAAAACACTTCAATATAAATAAGCACACATAAAAGTGATGCTAATGGAGTCCATCCCCTATCTCCTCCCAAACAAAAATCCGGTTTAGAGGTCCATCCCCTATCTTCCCCTAAACCGTGGAGTACATCCCCTATCTCCTCCCACACAATATGCAAATGCAATGCTCAACCAATACACGTATTTTCAGTATTAATTCAATAGTCAAATTAATGACTTAACCAATGTGATTAGTTTCAGTTATTCCTAATCCACATGCAATGTCTACAACAATCACGACTATCCTCCACCGATAGCCCAAAACAGTTATTTCTAAACAGAAATTAATTATGTCAACAATTCATTAGACAAATGATTCAAATTATCCAATCACGCCATTTAATCAATGAATTACCCAATTCCATGAATTTAACCATCTTTTCCCAATTCCATGAATTTAACCATCTTTTCCCAATTCCATGAATTACTTATACAAATCATTTCAGTAATACAACTAGGGTTTTCCCAAAATTTACCAAAGTATTCCCAACATATCAAAATACCAAAACTTAGAACAAAACCTATAAAATGGAGTAGGAAATCCCTACCTCGAAGAAAACAACACAAATGGTGAAGACAAAGATGAGTGCCCAAATACCAAAGTGCTCCAAACTACCAACAATTCAGATTAAATGGAAGCCCTCGACCCACTCTATCTTTTTAATAAAAGATCTAAGGTAGAAACTCACTCTAAGTAGATCAATCCTAAGAGAGAAGGTGTGTAGAGGGAGAGAGAACTCGTACCTAGGGTTTTGGAATCTGAAAGGGAATGAAAAACAGATCTGAAACACGTTGCTGACTATTTAAACCTGACATGCTCGCTCGAGCGAAGACTTGGTCGCTCAAGCGACCAGACACAGAAAACCCACGCTCGAGCCAAGAAAACCTTGCTCGAGCCAACAACCCAAAAGCTCGCTCGAGCGAAAGAAATATCGCTTGAGCGAAGAACTCAAACCCTCAGGTCTACAACCAGACACACGCTCGAGCGAAAGAACTATCGCTCGAGCGAAGAATGAACTAACTCGCTCGAGCGAAGAAAAGCTCGCTCGAGCCAAGAATGCAAAGCTACAGGTCCATACTGGACGCCACTTCTCGCTCGAGCGACTAACTCCTCGCTCGAGCGAAGAACCAAAAACCTGGACAGCAACACTTGGTTTCTAAACCCAACCAACCTGAAACAAACCTGCCCAACACATCCTACAAGTCCAAATGAGAAAATAAGGGACGACAACAACAATTATACAATGATAGAATCTACGGAACCTAAGTCCGGATACAATAATCAAATGGGAGAAGACCGGGGTCGCTATACCAACTATACTCCTAATAACAAAACCAAACCCAAACCCTAACCCCTTCCAATTCTCTCTCTAATCTAGATTCTCTCTTTGTTTTTGTTTTTGTTTTTTTTTGTTTTTGTTTTTTTGTTTTGTTTTCTTGCATTTAAATCAAATAAGAGCGAGAAACATATCAAGAGAAAAGATCCATCAACAATGGCCACCATTAAAACCTCTATCGCAGGCTATGGCGAGTGATTTCTTGCATTCATTCTCCCTCTTCTCTCTTTTCTTCTTCATTTTCTTCTGAAACCTTAGGTTTTCATCTCTCTCTTGTTTGATCTCTCTCACAATGGATAGGGAGGTCATGATGGCAGAGTGAGTTTTGCAACACAGTGCTAAACAAATCCTGAATGTTCAGCAACACAGTGTTGAACGAATCATTTTAGTTCGATAACACAGTGCTAAATAGGTCGATTTCTCTTCTCTGATTCAAATCTACAGTAGGGGATATGGGTGCTTCTTGGTGGAGTTGGTAGCTAATTATGACTGAGGGAGTGGTGTTGTGACGGTAAGGAGTGGTTAGAGATGGTAAAGGTTGCAGCGATAAAGGGTGGTCGGAGATGGTGGTGGTTACGACGGTAGAAGGTGGTCGGAGATGGTGGTATTGTCGGAGATGATTAGGGTTACGTTAGAGTTTGGAAAATTAGGTTTAGAAGATTAGAAATGATGGTAAAACTGAAATTTTAGATCAAGATAAAATGAAAATTAAAAAAAAAAATGGCTGAGATAAAAATTCTAAGAAAGAATGTAAGGGTTAAGAGCAATGCTCTTTATTAATAAATTTTCTAACAAAAAATTCTCATAAGGGTTTTTAATTTAGCATTGCTGTTTTTCTTTAAACCCCTACATTAATACCAACTATACCCCTAATAACAAAACCAAACCCAAACCCAAACCCTAACCCCTTCCAATTCTCTCTCTAATCTAGATTCTCTCTTTGTTTTTGTTTTTGTTTTTTTTTTGTTTTGTTTTTTTGTTTTGTTTTCTTGCATTTAAATCAAATAAGAGCGAGAAACATATCAAGAGAAAGATCCATCAACAATGGCCACCATTAAAACCTCTGTCGCAGGCTATGGCGAGTGATTTCTTGCATTCATTCTCCCTCATCTCTCTTTTCTTCTTCATCTTCCTCTGAAAACCTTAGGTTTTCATCTCTCTCTCTTGTTTGATCTCTCTCACAATGGATAGGGAGGTCATGATGGCGGAGTGAGTTTTGCAACACAATGCTAAACAAATCCTGAATGTTCAGCAACATAGTGTTGAACGAATCATTTTAGTTCGATAACACAGTGCTAAATAGGTCGATTTCTCTTCTCTGATTCAAATCTACAGTAGGGGATATGGGTGCTTCTTGGTGGAGTTGGTAGCTAATTATGACTGAGGGAGTGGTGTTGTGACGGTAAGGAGTGGTTAGAGATGGTAAAGGTTGCAGCGATAAAGGGTGGTCGGAGATGGTGGTGGTTACGACGGTAGAAGGTGGTCGGAGATGGTGGTATTGTCGGAGATGATTAGGGTTACGTTAGAGTTTGGAAAATTAGGTTTAGAAGATTAGAAATGATGGTAAAACTGAAATTTTAGATCAAGATAAAATGAAAATTAAAAAAAAAAATGGCTGAGATAAAAATTCTAAGAAAGAATGTAAGGGTTAAGAGCAATGCTCTTTATTAATAAATTTTCTAACAAAAAATTCTCATAAGGGTTTTTAATTTAAAAAAAAAAAATTTATGCGTACACAACCTATCCCTAACGTTATCATCTTTAGAGGGAGACGGAGGAAGAAAGTAGTTGGACCACCAAAAATGGCCTGCTCTGCAACTCCCTGTACTCTCATGCTATCCCACGGCGCTTCCTCTCTTCTTCCCCAACACCTCACCCCCTCTTTCTCCTTCAAACCCAAACCATGCTTCTTCAACTTCTCCAACACTTTCTCTCTCTACCCACTTCTTTTACATTTCACACACACAAAATCCAACAATTGGATTGATGTTTCTTCACCCAATTCCCCAGTTGTTGTGGCTGCTTTGGCTGTTGAAGTAGAGGTAGCAGAAGAAACCGAACAACTCCAAGAGGGTGTTGTGGAAAGTGGTGTTGTTGTTACCCCAACTAAGCCCAAGAAAGGCAAAGCTGCATTGCCTCTCAAGAGTGACAGAGTACGTGTAATCTCATTCCTTGTTTCCCTTTCTCTTGAATTGTGGAGACATTAGTGATTTTATTTATTGAGTTTCTTTGATTTTCACATTTATTTTACCTGTGATTGTAAAATTTTTAGTTTCAAGAATCTTATACTTGAGTTGGGAATAGATTGTGCTAGTTAAGATCTACTCTAATTGGTATTTATTTTGTTTTTCTTGGATTGTGGATGTGTGTAGTGTATTACATATTGAATTTTGTTTGATTTCTGTTTATTTTGCAATTTTAGTTATAGGAAACCAATATGAGAGATTGAAACCATGTATTGTGGGTGTATTATAGTAATTTACTTACTTGTGTTTGCTTGAGTTTTATCTTAATGATGACTTAAGCACTTCAATCCCTTAGAATCCTCCATTGTAGCGTCTGAAAAAGCTTGCATGTCATATTTTTGTTTCTTCATTTCTTCATCTTTTGATTATCTACAAACTATGGCTATATCTAGTGGTTTTGCCCTTTATTTATTTATTTATTTAAGTTTGGCTATACAGGTTGTGGTTGCAGTAGAGTATTAGTTCATTCTCAAGTTTTGAGAACACCTTTTCATGTCATAGTTCATGCTCATTTGAGAAGAATGCCTTTTATAAAATCAGGTCTTGAATATTAACAATCATTATGCAATTTTATCTGAATTCTCAAATTATTCAAAATGATTAAAAGCCCTTGTGTTTTAAATTATTATAAATTGTAAATTGTTATAGAACAAGAGTTAGAAGACCTCACGTTTAAAAAATTCTTGACATATATTGCCTTCTTAAATCAGAAATTTGCTTTGCATGAATCTCGAACGTGATATTTATCACTGTGGTTGCTGGTCTTGTCTCCTCTTTGGTTTGTTTAAGTTTTCTACCTCCATACTTTCACATTCCTGTCTCCTAGTTTCACATTCATGTTGTTACTGCATTTTTAACTTACTCCTTATCCTCCTTTTGTTGGGATTATTAGAGAAGGTCTAAGAGATTCTTGGAAATTCAAAAATTGAAGGAAAACAAGAAAGAGAATGACTTAAAAACAGCAATATCATTGCTTAAGCAAATGGCAAGCACAAAGTTTGTCGAAACAGCTGAAGCTCATTTCCTTCTCAACATTGACCCAAGATACAATGATCAACAGCTGAGGGCAACAGTGAGTTTTCCTTGCATTTGATTAATTGTAATGAGAAATATGGTAGCAATCTCATGGACTACAATTAGTTTATGCTATTGTTCTATTTCTTTCATGATAGGTGAATTTACCCAACGGAACTGGACTGACGGTTAGAGTGGCTGTTCTCACTCAAGGTAGCTACTTTTTCTTTTTCTTGACTTCTTTAATAAGTAATGTTCTGTCAGGAAATGCATCAAATGGGTGCAACCATGTACATAGGATAGGATGTAGATGTATATTAGCAAGCAAAACAAACCTGTAGGCTGTAGACTCATTCCACCCAAATTCTAAACAGAAAAATCAATATGGAAGGGGCATTTTCCCTAATCCCTGCTAACTCAATATGGGGATCTCACATCAGCATGTTTTAATGTCAGATCCAGAAAATCCAGTCCTTCAAAAGATTGCCTATGTTACTCCATCCAAATACAAGCATGGAGCTGTTGGAAATTGTGTACCTAGGCTAGGCATAAAGGAATTTAAAATTTATTTTGATTCTCAATCCCCATGATTATATTTGTGATATATATGAAACATAGATACAAACATCCATAGAAATAGTTTGAACAATACCTCCGAAACAAAATTCAATTCCTTGCTTGATTTTTGAGTTCACTCCAATTTGAAAGTGGTTCAAGCATCCGACCTCTAAAAGTCTTATAACAAAGGCATTGTCAAGCTCACAAGTATTCTAGAGAGACAATGAGAGGCAGATGTCAATCTTTGGAGTGCTAGCTCTTATAATAGCTCTCATATTTGAAGACCAAGTCTCTCTTGTCCCGCAAGGATTGATGATCTTCCTGATCTTAAAACAAAGAATTTTTTTTTTTTTTTTTGTTTTTTGATAAGTATGTTACAATGAACAAGTTACATCACAATTAACTCTTAATTGGAATAATCTCATTAATTAGCTCTTAATTAATTTAAATCCCGGATTAACACTTAATTTGGATTGTAACGCCCTCAAAATAATACAAAAACTCATCACTTTAGACATGCATTGTTATAAAAGAAATCAACCATTTTTATTTATCAGAGTGGTTCTTACAGCAGTATTACATGTTAACAATAAAAGCAAATGCCCTACGGGCTTACAGCTTTCCAAGTCAACACTTGGTTACACAAAAAAAGAGTGCTAACTCTATACAAATTAAGCCCTTGGCTTGATGTACATGTATTACAAACAAAATAATCAAAAAGAGTCTTCAACTCCCATATCCATCCAAGCTATGTCCTTGGAGGTGGCATGCTACCTGTACCTGAAAATAATGTCCCATATAAGGTGAGCCAACGCCCAGTAGAGATATGCTAAACACAGTATGAGCAGTAACTAAGACATTAGCAATTGATAATCGTTTGACTCCCATACATCAATTTATAAGCCACTTCCATTACATGACCACTATGTCCATGTTTCATTTCATTTCATTTCTTATCAAATTCATAATTCACAACAACGGCTCAGAACCTGGCCAACAGTTTACATGAGATAGCGACTCATATTAAACATTTCCCATTTCACAATAGATAAGCATACTAGCTATATCAACACTTCAATAGATAAGCATATGAGCTATATCAATACTTCCATAGATAAGCATATAAGCTGTATCAACACATTAACTGACAAGCATATGAGCTGTATTAGCAGAGTCCATCCCCTATCTCCTCCCAAACAACATCCGGTTTAGAGGTCCATATTGAGAGTTCCCCTAAACCGTGGAGTACATCCCCTATCTCCTCCCAAACAAAAATCCGGTTTAGAGGTCCATCCCCTATCTTCCCCTAAACCGTGGAGTACATCCCCTATCTCCTCCCAAACAAAAATCCGGTTTAGAGGTCCATCCCCTATCTTCCCCTAAACCGTGGAGTACATCCCCTATCTCCTCCCAAACAAAAATCCGGTTTAGAGGTCCATCCCCTATCTTCCCCTAAACAAGCAATTATTTCTAAACAGATAATAAAAGCTCCAACAGATAAAATATCAATGTTTCCAATAGTGAGTGATTAATAAATCCAACTCTACCATTTTACAATATAATGAGCCAATTTCATTATTTCAAACTCAATTCCATATAATTACAATTTTCCCAAATTAATCATACCAATTAATTTATACAACCAATTAGGGTTTTCTACCCCATTTTTCAATATTGACCCAATGGTCTATATATCAACAACCAACAACAATATCATTATTTTGAAACCCACAATACATATTTTAGAGTCAAAATAGCAAACCCCTTTTCAACATTTTCAAATCCTAACTTTCCAAAATCAACTATTTAACCAAATGCCCAAAAATCTAGGTTAAAACCCATAGTAGTATAGCGATCCCGGGTTTACCCTTGTTGAACAGTGATCCGGACATGTGTCCGTGGATGTTGGTAGTTGTTTATTATCTCGTTTGCATCCTCTTAACTGGTATATTAAGTTATAGGATGTGTTGGGCAGGTTTGTTTCAGGTTGGTTGTGTTTGGGAGCCTAGTGTTGCTGCCCAGATTTTTGGCCCTTCGCTCGAGCGAGGAGTTTGTCGCTCGAGCGAGAGTTGAGTTTGTGTCTGGTGGGTCGAGCCAGAGTGGCTTCGCTCGAGCGAGCGATGGCGTCTGGTTCTGGACCTGAGAGTTGCGTTTCTTGGCTCGAGCGAGCTTTTCTTGGCTCGAGCGGTCTGGTTTGTTCTTCGCTCGAGCGAGAGGTCTGTCGCTCGAGCGTGCTTCTGGTTGCAGACTTGAGGGTTTGAGTTGTTGGCTCGAGCGAGCATTCTTTCGCTCGAGCGCACTTTTGAGTTTTTGGCTCGAGCGAGGACTTCTTAGCTCGAGCGAGAGTTTTCTGTGTCTGGTCGCTCGAGCGACAAAGGCTTCGCTCGAGCGAGCGTGTTTTATATCAGCGGACAGTAGCGTTTTGAACCTCACTTTTTCACTTTCTTTTTTTGATCAAACCCTATATTCGAGACCCTCTCTCTCTACACTTATATTCTATCTAAGAATTGATCTCCCTAGAGTGTGAATCTAACCTAGGGCCTTTGTTAAAAAGATAGAGGGCGTTGAGAGCTTCGTTTTAATCTGAAAAAGGTGGGATTTGGAACACGTTGATCTTCGAGTCTTCATCTCCTTTTTGGCTCAAACTTCGAGGTAGGGATATCCTACTTCTCTCTATGGATTTTGTCTTTAAATTTTGGCATTTTGAGATGTTGGGGTTGGTTTGGTAATTTTGTGAAAGTTTGGGGGCTTTTGTGTAATTTTACAAAAGTCGGGGTTTTATTCATAATAAACCTGAATGCATGATTAGCATAGAGAAATGGAATAAATGTTAAGTCATTGATGAAAATGGGACCTAAGGGTTGAAATGTTAATTATGGGAATTGACCTAATTACATTGTTAGATTAATTGGGATAATTAATTGTGAGAAATGAGGAAATGAAATGGAATTGTTGAGAGTGGGAATGTATGGGGTTAAAGGGTGTAGTTGAATTATTTGTCACTCACCGGAATGAAATGTTGATTGAATATCCATTGTGCATTTATTTTCTGTTTAGAAATAACTGCTTGGGGCTATCGCCTGTGAGTTAAAAACCTCCTTCTACTCAATTCCGACCCTCGTGCATGATGACAGATATGTAATATTTGTGTTTACTTACCATTTCTCAAGCATTAGGGTTTAAGCTCCAACAGATAAAATATCAATGTTTTCAAAAGTGAGCGATTAACAAATCCAACTCCACTATTCTACTATATAATGAGTCAATTTCATTATTTCCAACTCAATTCCATATAACCACAATTTTTCCAAATTAATCATACCAATTAATTTATACAACCAATTAGGGTTTTCTACCCCATTTCCCAATATTGACCCAATGGTCTATATATCAACAACCAACAACAATATCATTATTTTGAAACCCACAATACACATTTTTAGAATCAAAATAACAAAACCCTCTTTTAACATTTTGAAACCCTAAGTCCCAAAATTGTCCAACTTCAACACTTTATCAAAACAACCAAAAATCTATGTCAAAGACCATAAGAGTGAGTAGGAATCCCTACCTCAAAAGTTGACACCTAACAAAGAAGATGAAGAAAATGGAAATGCTCCAAATCCCGAGATTCTTGGATCGAAAGATAGCCCTCGACGATCAACAACTTTTTTGTAAAGGCCAAAGGTGAGGAAACAACTCTTACTAGATCAATACCTAGAGAGAAGGCAAGGTTCTAGAGAGAGAAGCTCTCAAATGGCGTTTTTGAAAAGTAAGAGTGAGAGTGAGGATGTAAAAAGTGATTTAGAAATGCCTAATTGCCTTTTGATATACGACATTCCCGCTTGAGCGGAAAACACAACGTCAAGAACAAAAGAACGAGGTCCGCTCGAGCGCAATAAAGCCCGCTCGAGCGCAATAAAGCCCGCTCGAGCGCCAAGACACAAAAATAAAGTACATCTGCTCGAGCGCGAAAACCAGTCCGCTCGAGCGTAGATTTCCCCCTCCCAGAACTTTCACAGACAAAGTATTACCCGATCGAGCGTAAAGAAACTCGCTCGAGCGTGAAAAACATGCTTGCAGAAGTTTTGCAGAGCACCAAAATATTGGGAGTGTGCAATATCTGCTCGAGCGCAATAAAACCCGCTTGAATGGACCGTCCGAAAACTGGGCAACAAGAAATTGAAACCAAGGCTTAACCAACCTGTAACAACCCTGCCCAATACATCCTAAGACTCAAACAAATGGAATCAAAGGACAACAACGAGATTAACAACAACCAAATCCACGGAGCCAGAGTCCAGGATACAACAGATACAAAAAGGGAAAACCGGGATCGCTATAACCTTCCCCCCATAAAGAATTTCGTCCCCGAAATTAAACATGAGTTTTCAAAAACCAGTTTTTCTCCAATCCCAACAATATTATAACAAAATATTGAACAATCCGACCCATTACCGGTCAATCCTATCTCTTTTCAAGAGGCATTTCACATTACATGTAACAACCTGCATTATCAACATGCATTCCTTTGAAATCTACCAATTTCAACTCATTTTTCACAATTCCACAACACATGCAACATTTATATCATGCTTGCATTTTCACTATATACTTAACATACACAATATAGCGACCCCGGTCTTTTTCCATTT